AAATTTGTGATGTCAACTTAATTAAAAACTGTGGTGATTGGCAAAGGGTTTGCAATTAAAAAAACATGAAATGGGATAAAAGTTTGTCAACTGTTTACAAAATATGTTTCCTCTTTTTTTATTAAAAATTCGTTGAAAGTTTATAAAAAGCTCAAAGTTAATAACAAAGCAAATTAAATTTCACTTTGTTGGTGAACCTTTTCTAACTACATATGTACGAATGTACATTTATACGAGGGGAGGCTAAATGTTTTGTAGCTGATAGAAATTCAAAACAATTTTATGTTTCCATGTATATAATCTCACTCTACTTCAAAGCATTCCTTACATTAATCATGAAGTGCTTTTAAGCCAGCGAAAAGTATTCGCCATGTTTGTCTTCGAAATGCTCGTCTACTGCTGCCTTTATTTCTTTTTCACTCGAAAATCTTCATCCTCGGAAGATTTCATTCACATTGGTGAATAGGAAGTAATAGCAGGAGGCCAGGTCCGAACTGTATGGTGAGTGGTTGATTTCATCAAATCCAGTCTCGGCCAGCGCATGCCTTGCAACTCGTCCGGCGTGCACGGGTCCATTGTCTTGTAAAAACAGAACTTCTTTGGTCTCTACGTTTCTCGACAACTACTTGACGCATTTTGTTAACAATTAGGCATAATAGCCTCCGTCCATTGTAGTGCTTTTAGGAAGATAGTCGATGAACATAATACTTTCGCAGTCCCAAAAAACAGTGGTAACGGCAGTGTTCTTTGTGAGGAATTTGATGACAACTCTGTACTCCATTTTCATACTGAAAGCGTAATGATGTTAATAGGGATATTAGCAATAAGACCCGCGCCACATGATATTAATGACACCTAAAGGTACTTGGGCTCAAAACTTTTCAGCCTCCCCTCGTATGTACGAGTATAGCTGTACTTATTTTTTTTGGAAATATTCATAAACTTTAATAATGTTTATGGAATTGGGTGTGTCCACATTGAAAATAAGTTGTTTTGCTGGTTTGCAGGACACACCTTACCACACTTTTGTAGAGTATGTTTGTATATTTGAAGTACTACATAAATGGGTACTATGCAAATTTGTGTATGTGTATAGGCAGTCAATGACTTCTGTTGTAACTACTATTGTACTATTGACTGAGAGTGAATGAATTGTACAAAAGTTAAACTCAAATATGCAGAAAATCAACCCTCATATAAACTAGCTTTGCGCATAATTTACTCAAGTACCTTGAAAAACGAATATATGTATATACTCATACCTATTTAAATACATATTTAGTAGTTACTCAGTTTCTACTTGATGGTAATCTATGAGGCGTAGTTTTACCTAATCAATGATTAATAACAAGTGACGCGTGTTACACGCTATTTGACAGTCAATCGTCACGGATGTTTGCATTGTTACCAATAGAATGGTCTGGGAGCAAGATTTTAAATATTTGCGGTCGCGTTTCATATATACTATTTTAGTTAACGGTAGCATTTGGAATTAATGAAATTGGGAGATGCACTTCTGATTTAGATTTAGGATCAGAATTTGTTAAAGGGCTCAATACAAGAAGCGAATGGAATCCTAGTATGCCTCAGTGGGAGAGTGTCCGATGGAACCATTAGAATATTTAGGCCAAGTCACCAAAATAATTAAATCTGTACAGGAATGAAATAAGGAGCGACTTAACACTGAGAGCTATATATGTACATCTATACATTAGACTGCATCACCAAAAAAAGTTGCGTTTTTTCCGCCGGGATTACAAAATTTATTATTAGACGTCTACCAAAATATTTCGGAAAACTACTAAGAATTACGTGAGCTAGACCGATTTGAAAATACCTCCAAAAATGAAGTTTTTTTTATGAATAAAAATATGTAGAACTTTTAGAAAAAAATTCCCTCAGATGACAAACAGATTAGTTAAAAAATCTGCATAAAATCGTAATAATAAGTGTTGGATGCTGTTTTTTACTTTTTTCAAAGATTGATTTATGAAAAACTTGAATGACTGGGGCAAAACAATTCTGATTTAAACTTACGGGGTCTCAGTAGAAAGGTATTTTCCCACTCTTTTTACTTCTGTGCAAAAAAAAAGTCATTCATGTCCCAATTTTTTTTTCAAATACCAGCATATCCTAATTCAAATTGGAATGACGCTCGTTAAAAACAGCATCAAAAATCTCATTATTATGATTCCGTTGAAAGTTTTTTTTAATTTTTTTAAATATTTTTATGCAAATTTTCTAGGCTTAAACCGTTTTGTCAATGGAGAAACTATTTTTAGTCATAAAAACTCCGTTTTTGGAGGTATTTTCAAATGGGTCCAGCTCACGTAAATCTTAATATTTTTCCGAAATATTTTGGTGGACGTCTTAAAATTTTATAATTCCAATGGAAGCACAGTACCGTTTTTTTTGTATGGGGAGTGATGCAGTTTAATATATGTACATACATACATACTATCGTCACTAGACGCGAATAAAGGCGGGAGCTCAAAAGTTGACCGCGAAAAAGGCACATACGAAAAAACTTCAGCGAAGAAAGACTCTTAACATAGTTGAAGGCGAAGAAAGACGCGTTAAAATATTTGACGCCCAAGAAGGACGCGGGTGTAATAGTATGTACATTCCGTTAATAGTTTTTGGGGAATAGTGCTGAAGTGACAGTCCTTCGCCAAGTATAAATCTATGATTACGCATTTTTCATCGCTGTCAACTAGGTTAGGCGTCTTTCTTCGCCGAAGTTTCTCTTAAGCGCATTTTTTCGTAAAATTTTGTATGCGTCTTTTTTCGCCGTCGAAACGCTAGCGCGACTTTATTCGTGTCTAGTGACGCTATGTATACACATGTTTTAACAAATCAACAGAAACTATATTGGTTTTCGTCACATGTACTATAAATGTATAGGTCCATTTCGGAGTCATTAGAAAAGATGGGTACATATTTACATTAGACCGAAGCAAAAAAAAAAACATTCACAATACGCCGCTGAGTCTAAAGAATTTTTTTTTTGAGAGCATACAAATTGCAACTTTACTTATTTTGGGCCACCCCAGTGTCCGCTTTTACCTTGAGGGGTTATGTATTTGAATGTTGATAGAACGGGTAGGTGGGATGCAATCGGTTGTAGGAAATGCAGTAAAGTCGTTCGAGATTTTACAGTGACCGATATGTGGGTGCATCTATTTCTTAGTTAGTCGCATTAAGCATTGATGTGAGTGTTACGTCTCATCTTTCCTTCATACATACATAGCGATTTTGCGGGTGGCATAAAACTATAGGACGGCATGAAGATACACCCCACGATCTGAAGTTGTAGATTAATAAAACACTCAAAAAGTTGTAACCGTTAAATATTTTTTGTATGCAAATATATATTGCTTTCCCTTCCCATTCCTCAGGTTTATATGGCAACGATGATCTTCATAATGGCCTGCTTGAAGTGTTGACTGCTGGCCGCAAGGTTGATAATTTGGTAACCACTATCCGCAATCAGACGCACATATTGGAGAATACTTTAAAGAATCGTATACGGCCACAACTGGTTGAGTTGGCCGACATTTTCGATCAACCCGTCTCAAATCAGACTGCACTCTCCATACTCTTCGTCTCATTGAATATTGTGCAAGGCAATGTGACGTTGGCCACTAATGCTGCTGGTGATATACGTCGACCACTGTTGGGCATTTCCATGACACACTTTCTTTCGGTATGTTTGGTTTTAAAATATTTGATCCCCATTTTTTACAAACAGCAAATTTGTATGCCTTAACACTTCTTCCAGCGTGGCGATCAATGGGAGCTCATTCGTTGGCCGGGTACGGTGGCCACGCTCGCTCTGCTATTGGTGCTTTGTGCCGTTTTGTTGGTAGGTGTGGCACGTCATTCACGTTGTGCGCTCATATTATTTAGCGTTTGTGGTTTGCTGGCGGTCACCGGCTCTTGGCTGATGTCTGGCCTCTACCTTTCTTCATCGGTTGCTGTTGGAGATCTCTGCATTAATCCGGCTGATTTTTTGGTATCCACCTCCCCACGCGATCTTCCGACCAATGTTCTTTTGCACTATACTCAATGTGAACCCGGGCACACTAATCCTTTTACCCAACGGCTTCGCGAGTCGCAAAATTCTTTAAACAACGCACGTAGCGCCATGGCTACTGTAATGAAGATTTCCTTGGTACTCTTCAAATCGTCGGGTTTGCAACCGAAATTAGGTGCTGTTAATGCGGATTTAAATAGTAGTGAGCGGCTACTCACTCAACTCACAGCCTTGGTGGACTGTAAGGCTGTACATCACAATTTCTTGGCAGCCGCAAGAGGCCTCTGCGAGGGCGGACTATTAGGGTTGGTTCTGATGTTGATTGCTAGCTTTATCGCCGCTATACTGCTTACGATTATGGTTTGGGTTGATTCGCACACTTGGATCTACATACGAAAGCGAAATGATTACGCCCAGGTTGACGAGCCGTCGTATATATCGCATCCAGCGCCACAAAATCATCAACAGATGATGAATGCGGCACGCACATTGCCACGCAATCACAACGGGTGAGCATGTCCCTCAAGTGAGATTTGTTTAAATTTGTTTGTTCGAACCTCCGTTATAGGCACTTCAGTCCGCCGGTCATAAGTGGCTCCCACACCTTGCAGCACCCATCGAAGCGGCAACAGCACGAGATGATGGCGCACGCACACATGCAGCAGAACATGAGGGCTATGGGCACGCATACGCTAGGTCGTTTGCCGTCGCACAATCATAGCCCTACCCACTTGACTGGTAAGTGTGTTGGAACCTGCGTCATGCGACCAACAGACAACCCTCATCTCTTCAAAGTAGTTTAATCCATTTCCTACTTGCACTTATCATTTATTACAAATCACGTATTGCTCTTTCGCATTTTTGCCTCAATCACTTCCCCCATTCCGCCTCTCGCTCCTCACTAACATTCTTTTCGCCCATATTGCAGGTCCCAATAACGGTAAATATGCTACATTAAGCAAACAATGCAAAACTTTGGAAGCCAATGATTTTTACTGAAAATCACCAGTAGCCTGTAGCGATCCCGCACGAAGTCAGCCGGCATTAACACCGCAGCAACAAGCAGCACAGCAACAAGCAGCACAGCAACAACTCGCTCAACAGCAAGCTCAACAATTGGCCGGTCAACCGATCTACTGTCACCATCCGCATCCACATTCGCATGCCGCCGTTGCAGCTGCTGTTCAACACCAACATGCCATCTATCATCAACAACAACAGGCTGCTCAACAGTATGGTACATATGGCACAGCTGCTCATCCGCCACCACATCAAATGACAGCAGCTCAGCATGGTCAAATTTATCAGCAAATACCGGCACATATTGCTGCCCTACAGCCAAATGGTAATCCGCATTCCATCTACCAACCATTGGTGGCTGTTAGCCAAGGCTCAATTTATGTCTCGAATATGGCAACGATGCGTCGACAGCAGAACTCGCAAGCACAAGGACATCCACAGATACCGCCTCATCATGTACCGCCACATCAGCAACAACAGCCACCGCCACCACACCAACAGCAGCAGCAACACAATCAAATAAAGTCACCACAGGATGGACTACATCATCGTGATATACCAGCTACGTCTGCCATGGAAACGGCAATTTACGATCGCGACAAACAGATTTATAAGTGCTCAACTCTGCGACAAGGCGGCAAGTTTGATCCAAAGTATAAACCTTCGATACTGAACTGTCCACTGCCTGAGATACCGAAAGACGCCGAACCGGCTAAGGTTGAGTCGATCTATCAGCAGCAACAGAGTTACTCAAAGTAAGTGCGATCAATTTCATGATAAGTTTGGGTACTTCCGTTACCAAGATTGCCATTGTATTATATATTTACTGGTAAACTCCACAAATTGGTTTATATAGGATGGGATGTAAAAATCCTGAGTGGTGCCACAACGGGCGTGACAGAGGTCCTAAGTGTGCTGCTGACCATAAGTTGCCACGTCAACTTTACTTTAACTTATACCTTGTACATATATACATACATACGTATATAGAATCTTTACATCCCATCCCATCCGATATAAACAATTTATGGCATAAGGAGAACGATATGTATGTATATGGGCAAATGTCCCGTGCGCGCTGAGGGGTGCAAAACAAGCTACTTTTCGACTAGCTGGGAAGCAGACAGAAAATGGGGAAAAAATTCGAAAACTATGATTTCTATAGATTTTTCTACTGGTTATCCGCTGGCGCGTATGCGTTTTCGAAACGAAAATTTATTTGTAATTTTTCTCAATGATTGTCGCTTTTAATATTTTTTTAGTCATCTCAATCGAAAGATCTGGTCTTTTTTACATAGGAATCGATAATTAAAAAGGGCCTTTTTTATTTTTCCGAGTTATAAAGCGTTTTAGAGCGCGCTAAACCAGTCGCGGAGCTCCGTCGCGTCACTTCGGCTCAGTTTACTTGCACATTATACCGTGATAGCAAATTTTTACAAAATGGTCATTTAAACTCCTTATATTTCAAACGTTTTTGAGTTCACTTATGTACTTGAATATTGTTTAATGTAAACACTAAATGAAATTCTTATTCCACTTCTGAATTTTTAAACGCATATTACTCTAAAGGCCTCCGAAAACCTACATTGGTTTTCTAAACTACTTAAACTTAAATGAGATGTTTCTTATTCCACTTCAGAATTTTTTATCACACTCTGTTTTATGGTCTAGAAAATCATAGCAGAGTCCATAAGACTAATTAAACGAGTTTTCATATTGCACTTCTGAATTTTTATTAGATTGAGGTTTATGACCTCGAAAATCCTTTGGTAGCAGAGAAGCTTCCCATTTCCTAACTTAAGTCTTTAGTATTAAGTTTACATTAAGCGCTCATATATTTGAGTTTTTTTGTTAATTTAGTATAAGATTATAGTTATTTGTTGATGTACATATATGTACATATATAAAACATTTATCGACTGATTTGTAAAAAGATATGAAATATGAAATAATAAGGAAATACTTAAATAGCCTAAAGTCGTTCACAAATCGATTTTCGCAAATCATAAAAGTGAGGATTGTTCCATTAAGCAGGGACTCTTTTTGTATGCCCAGTAATTATTTCTCTAGGAAATTTTTCACCGCCAAGCCATATTTTTCGCCTTATTTGTATAGTTCGAGAATCCTACAATGAAAATATCGCATTTTATCTGCCAAATTGAAAACAATACAGTCAATGAAGTTGATTAACAGAATGGTCATTACGGATTGTGGCTAATATCAAGATTCCTTCGCATATTTAGCCATCCCATTTTTGCAGTCCTTTTTCTATCGCACACTCTCCCACTATAAACTTGGAAAAATCTGCTAAGCTATGAACATCCATTTAAAAAAACATAATTATAAGTACTACGTATTGATAAAAATCACTAATATCGTAATTTATTGTGCCACAGGACGCTGCAGCGGCCACCAATGAAACTGCCACCACAAATGAAAGCCATACCACCGCCTCGAATTGGCACACCTACATCGTCGCCGCCATCGAATGCGAGCGCGCACGCTGACCCACAACATGCTACTAGTGGACAGCAGCAACAACTACACCAAATTCCAAACGGAACAATCACAACAGGGGAGATTCGACTTTCGAGTGACGATTCATCACTGCCCTTGCCACCGCCACCGCTGGAGGCAACCACTGAAGTGGGTACTATCGGTGTGAGTGGCGTTAGTGTGGTTGGTGGTGGTGGTGGTGGTGGTGGAGGTGCCATTCATTCGCCACTCAAACCCGGTCATGCATTGAATAATAATAATAATAACAACAGCATAAACTCGAAAAGCAATAACAGCAACAATTGCCAACAAAGCAACAACGGCGCAAACAATGGCAGCATTGCCAGCAACAACAGCAGTGCCAACAATAGCGGCAATAATAGCAGCAGCAGCAACAACAGTAGCAGCGCCACTACGTTACCGTTACACAATGGCAGTTCGGCAAATAATCTGGACGATGATGATGATTTGCCACCCCCACCACCGCCCGCCATCACCGACGACTCCAACTATGCAGTGACAGAACTGTAAGAGGCAACGACCCAAAAACTTTAAAGAATAAAATTAGTACATACATACGTACATACATATGTATATATGAACGAGTATAAGATTTAAATCTCGAGTAGTTTAAGAAAGAATATTTGGCTTCAAAACTAATTGGGGTTGCACGAGTATATAGTTTGTTGGGTTCAAGCTGGAGATGGTTGATAATACTTAAGCGCACGGTCAGTAGCGTCGTTGTTTCATAGTAGTTGTAGGTTTTAAGATTCCAGTTAATGTTGTTGTTACGAATCTGGGTATATAATGGATAGTACATACATGCATACAATTATTGAAAAACACATAAGATATGTATAAAAGAAGAATAATTATTATGTAACGTACTTCATTCGACTAAATTAGCACACAAGCCAATACTAACGTAATCGTACTCGTGTATAATGCATAAGTTATAAATTGCATATACATACATACCAGAACATAACTTATGTGTGTATATGCATTTAATTTTACATGTGTGTATGTACATACGTAGCAAGTAAATATATAAAATAAATACATAGTTGAAAGCTACAAAAAAAAAAAACAAATACAAATATTTAATGGTGCGTTTACATTTATAAGCATTAGACAAGGACTTTACTTAAAAATTTAAGCGAAAATAATATGAATGACCATAACTATTTGCATATGTACATATGTATCTATGTATGTCTGTATGTATGTATATTAAATATGCTTTGTGTCGATAAATGCTCTTAAATGCTGCAGGCTAGTTAGATGAAAATGGTGAGACAGTGGGCCTCAGACATAAAAAGTGAGCTTAAAAGCTCAGACACAATTTTTGCACTGACGAAGAAGTGAGTCCAAGCTCAAGAATTTGTACTGAAAATCGAGTCGGAGTTTAAGCTCACTTTTCATGCTGAGGTTCATTGCTTATATGTACGTATATCGCGCAAGCTCTTCAAAATAAGGCACAACTAAAAAAAAAATAAGGTCGATTCTTTTGCATAAATCAATTCGTTTACTTTATGTATCTCCAATTAAAGCATATTTATTTTTCTTCATTATTATATTATCTTACTTGAACAGTACTGTCATAGCTGCCTTAGTATTAATTGCTTTGTGCCTGTACGACCTACAATAAGTTATATTTTCGGATATGATTTTTGAGTTGTGCCTCATTTAAAGAGGGTGTACGATATGCACATATTTATGTATGTATGTAACGAAACATTTTTTTAAGAAGTAAATAAAAATTCCAGGCAGAAAAGTGTGGAATAACAATGAAATACTGGACTGGCATGCCGTAGAGCTACAACAGCAAAACCAGGCAGGCGATTAGATTGGTACCCTTTTTCCTAAACGCCTAGAAACGTGTATAAAAATATAAATAAAATGTTATTTAAAATATTTGTAGCATAGCGCGGGTTTTATTAGAATGTACATATATATGTATAGATATAGGACTAAATCTAAGTAGTCAGTAAATTTGGTTTTAAGATCATATGAACATTAAAAAAAGAGTGCTAAAACACAATTAAAGCTACATTTTTATGAGACCTTTAAAATGTAATTCCTTAAAAATGCTAAATAAAAATTTGGCACTCACATTTGAAC